ATACACATACACATACACATACACATACACATACACATACACATACACATACATACATACATACATACATACACTGTATTCACTGTATACGCTCTATTCACACTATACAGAAGCCTGATATATATATAGATATCTATATATATATAGATAGATTCATAGATTTTCACGGGTACAGGTATGTAGGTCTAGGTGTATTCGGGACTTTTCCCGTGTAAGATTAAGAGTATCTTGGCGATGTTTCAGCAAGGTCCAGCTGTCGCACCCCCCGACCCCAAAACCAAACAAGCTGACACACACCAAGAACACAGACCCAGACCCCAAACTCGAAGCCAGACTAAAACCCAGAATGCCACATCACAGCCACCCGCTCAGGATATCACATCAGAAAACTCAGGAAATTACACCACAAGAACTCAAGAAGTTGCAACACAGGAAATGACCCAGGATATCACAGCACAAGACCAAGGATACCACAGCAATAAGTCTCACAAGGTCATCACACAACCCATTACCCAAGCCGTTACTACACAGGAAGCTAATGGAAAAGAGATCAAAATACAAACGACCCAGGAGATTACAACGCAGGACCCAGGATACCACAACAAAAGAACTCGCAAGCCCATCACACAACCCATTACCCAAGCCATTAAAACATGAGAGGCTAATGGAAAAAAGATCACTACAAAACAAATGACCCAGGAGATTACAGCACAAGATCCAGGATATCTCCACAACAAAACTCACAAGGCCATCACACAGCCCATTATACCAACATCAACTCCATCAACCAATTAAGAGGCAGCAGCACAGCCAACCAGCCCAGCACACCAACCCCCACCACCAGTATTTATAGAGAGACAGCAGCTCCAATCATACACTGCTTGTACTGGCACGAAGCCGAAAGCACCAGCCTGAGGATGGTGAGTGGGACCTCACTGAAACGTCGCCAAGATACTCTTAATCTTACACAGGAAAAGACTCGAACACACCTATATATATATGTATGTATGTATGTATGTATGTATGTATGTATGTATGTATGTATGTATTCATTCTTAAGTTTTTGCGGGTATTTATATGTATGGTATTCAGTTTTGTTTGGGTATTTTCCCACGTCGAACACTATACAGAACCCTGATGATGGCAGATGAGATTCTGCTGAAACGTTGCTACAACTTTAAAAGCACAACTATAATGACGTGGAAAAATACCCGAACAAAGCTGAATACCATACACATAAGTACCCGCGAAAACTTAAGAAAACACACACACACGTGTGTGTGTGTGTGTGTGTGTGTGTGTGTGTGTGTGTTTTAAATAGGTTGGGGAAGGACAGGCAGAGCCTGGGGGCAGAGTCAAGAGAGGAATAAGTGGAGGTAGGATTCAGCCCATTCGGAAGTGGAAATTTTGAGTAGTTCGGAGAACTGGAAAATCCCACCTCTGACTGGCCCTGCCCCCATCTCCTCTCTGCCTCCCATTGAGTCTCAGCTGATGGGCCGGGTCTTCTTTGGTTGCCCTGCACAGGAGAACGGAGCTGGAAAGCAGATCGGTGGGGTGGGGAGGGAATGGGGATTTTGCAGTATCCTTCTCCTGCCATACCCACCAAGACACACCCACCAAGCCAAGTCACACCCACCAGGCCATGCCCACAGAACCGGCAGTAAAAATTTTGAATCCCACCACTGGGAATAAGCCTGGGGTCATTACATTCCCAGAAGCAGTCAAAGCTTTAGTTTCTGTGCTGACTCATTAGTTGACTAGATTCTTATTGTATAGGCCTGAGTGCTTAACTTGGAACCTAATGTGTGATAATGAGGTCATCCCCTGATAAAATATTTTAGAAAAATATTATTTTTCTCATCCAATTTAATGGACCCTCTGAAAACTATTCATAGGCCCACATGGGGTCTGTGTGTCCCAAATTAAGAACCACTGGTTGACAATGTCAACCAAACTTTTTGGAAAAACCCTAACTTGTGCACTAAACTTTTTGTATTCATCTTAGAAGCGCCAATTGTAAAAGAATAAGAATCATCTTTTGCAATGGTTATAAGTACCCATCTAGATCAAATCCAGAGTCAAGTTCCTTCTACCAGACTGACTTTCTTAAGAAGGGTTTTAGGGGAGAGGGGTAAAAAAATCAAATTAAATTTGCTTTGTATCTTAAGGCAGTGTTAATTCAGTCCACCTGGAATTTTTTTCCTCTTACCTTCATTGGTTAGAAATAAAGCAGGGGTGCCGTACATTTCTCCTGAATCGATGAAATACAGGATGCCACACAACGCTCTCTCACAGAAGTGCAGTAAATAAAGCCATAGTGAGATTGTAAAGCTGTACAAACACAAAACACTGGTGAGAAACAGCTCACTGACCACTGAGACTACCTGAATAACATCCAATCAGTTCAAAGCAGATGAGATGTTGGTTTTATCTCTTCACCTAAATGGAAAATGGTCCGTTGAGATGCTTTTATTGAAGGACATCTATTGATACAAGAAACAATGACTAAGGCTGAGATGGAAAAGGCGACAGTTGTTCACAAACCATGTAGTGATTAGCAATGTCCAAGATATTTTAGGGACAAGGGCGATGTCTCCCTTGGACAAATCCTCAGATTCTTCCTCAGAACTCAAGAGGGGATGACCTCATTCTTGGCACATCAGGAACTGGGTTAATTAATGACTCTGAACAGCCAGCCGAAAGAGATTTACGGGAAACTGCAGCTGGGGACAGCTTGCAGGGGCTGACGGTCAGTGAAGAGTTGTCTTCCATGGTGGATCCGAGAGCATGCAAGGCAAAGAAAAGACAAGAGCAATGGAGTTCTGCCAGATAGCTCAGGAGAAGGCCCCGCCCATCTTGATGGGCTGCATCAGAAAGCTATTTGCCGCGGCAGGCAGAGGGAGGCATTGCTGGGAACAACCTCTTTGGTTTCTGGCTGTGTGTGTTTGTTCCTCATGCTTCCTGCTTGACTTTGGGCCTTGTAGAGACTCTGAACTTCTCTTGCCAAATGAGCTCTTGTGGGTGTATTTCAGTTTGGCCTGGAGGATTTTAGTTTGTTTGGCAGACTTATTTTTTGGAGTGACTTTCCATTGTTTTGTGGACTATTAGCCATTGCCTTGTGGGATGATCTTGGCCTGCTTGTGGCTGGATTCATTTGGGACAGTTCTGAGGCTGGGTGAAGGGAATTGCTGGGGAACCTTAATAAACTCTAAACCAGGGGTCGCCAGCCTTTTGGACCTCAGGGACCACCAAACTCATAATTTTAAATCCCGTGGACCACTAATATGAATTTTGACTGATGGTGGCTTGCTGATGTTGGTGGGAAAGTCGGTCCCCTATTCCAGAGCTGCAGTAATCACAGGACTGGCCCTTTGGTCATCCTGCAGCAACTGCTCCTCCACCTGGGTGTACTGGCCTGCCGTGGACTGGAGGAGCTGCTCCGGGATGACCAAAGGGCCAGTCCTGTGACTACTGCAGCTCTGGAATAGGGCACCGACTATCCCAACAATGTCAGCAGTCCACCCCGGGACGGATTTCCCTCCCCTGCCGTTGGTCTTACCTTCCAGTTCCAGCTCATGTGGCTCTACTCAAGGTAAGGTTTGCGCTTGGCTGAAGGGTGGGAGCCAGCCGGTAGGTGCACCATGTGGGCGGTGCAGCCTTGTGTTCCTGCACAGCCTGGATTAATTGCTTTGGGGGAGACATTTCTCTGCGGACCACCAAAATGTTCTCATGGACCACCAGTGGACCCCAGCCCACCAGTTGGCAACCACTGCTCTAAACCACACTCGTGTGTGTGTGTGTGTGTGAGTGGGTGGGGCAGCCCAACAACAGAGAGAGTCTTAGAACCCAACACGTAGGACAGAGAAGGAACCAAGCATGGAGACACAGAGTGTCTTTCATGGGAAACAGACATAAAGCCTAGGAGGGTTTTGGAAAGTGATGGCTGTTCTGAAACCATGGAACTTATGCTAAGTTCTCTCCTGCACAGGAAGTGAAATTGGGACTAATGTAGTAAGTGACAGCATCAGAGGTGGGATTCAGCAGGTTCGGACCAGTTCTGAAGAACTGGGAGTGGAAATTGTGAGTAGTTCGGAGAACTGGCAAATCCCACCTCTGACTGGCCCCGCCAACCCCATCTATTCTCCACCTCCCTAGTCCCAGCTGATTGGCTGTGTCTTCACTGGTTGCCTTGCACAGGAAAATGGAGCAGGAAAGTAGGTTAGTGGGGTGGGGAGGGAATGGGGATTTTGCAGTAACCTTCCCCCTTTCCTCCCAAGTCGACCCTTATTCCTTAACTGTTCCCTTCTCCTGGCAGCTCTGCACACTGGGAACAGGCTCCAGCTTTTCTTCTGCCCCACTGATCTCTGACTCCAAAGGCAGCTGAAAACAGTCTGACGGCCCTGGCCCCCTCTCTTCTCTGCCTCCCGAGCCCCAGCGGATCAGGTGGGTCTTCTTTGGTTTCCCTGCACAGGAGAATGGAGCTGGAAAGCAGGTTAGTGGGGTGGGGAGGGAATGGGGATTGTGCAGTATCCTTCTCCTGCCATGCCCACCAAACCATGCCCATCAAGCCACACCATGCCCACCAAGTCACGCCCACAGAACCAGTAGTAAAAAAATTTGAATCCCACCACTGGGCAGGGGGCATGGCTAGGGGCATGGCCAGCCCAACGTCACTTGTGTCAGGGGCACCTGTGGTGGCCAAGTGCTAAGGCAGGACTTCCCTCAGACTCTCCCTCCCTCTCATTATAATCTTCCTTCCTTCCTTCCTTCCTTCCTTCCTTCCTTCCTTCCTTCCTTCCTTCCTTCCTTCCTTCTCTTCCTTCTCCCTTCCTTCCTTTTCTTCTTCTTCCTTCCTTTCCTTTTTTCCTTCCCTCTTCCTTCTCCTTTCTTTTTCCTTCCCCTCTT